ACGACGGCAATCATGATCGACCCCTTGCGACCGTACCGATCCGCGACAGGACCATTGACGAGAGAGCCAGCCCATGCAAAAAGTAGCAGTGTCGATACAAACCAACCCTTGAAGCTACTGTCCAATGCGATCCTGGGGAATGCTGCCGCGAAAGACTCCATGGTCAGGACGCCACTGATGACTCCCTGGTCATAGCCGAAAAGAAAGCCGCCCAGTGAGGCGAACTATCGTTGTTAGTAATTTTAAGGGTAGCGTAGTACAAAAGACTCACCGTCGACAACCCGAGGAGGTATGGGTTTTTTCGCAGTTCTTTATAAACGCCCTGCTTTGGGGCAGAACCAAGGCCTGCGTTCTCTAGTTCGGTCGACATGCTGATCTCGGGGTTGCGTCCCAGGTAAGTCCCAATGAGCTGGAAGAGAAGGCGGAGTGCATAACATTGTGGGGAAGATCCAGCATTATATAACGTTCTTCGGGGAGAACCTGGAGACCCCAAGGTTCACAGGTCACGCTACTCCGGAGTACTGTCGCCCGACTATCGAGAAAACCTAGGTGCACTTTGTGGAGAAGTGGTGTGGGTCTTTTCAAGGTTTCCCCGCTTGGCGATGCTGTTGGTCCCCTGTTCCTGCTCTAGCCCACCACGATTGGCTAGCATCGTTGTCACCATTCGGACGTCTGTCGCCCGAAATCCCCAAGGACGGGTTACCAGTATAGAATCCATCTAAACTTGTATAGGGGTTCATCTGTCGTCATAAACTCCCCATCACGTCTACGAGGAAAGTCTGTGTCGCGCATTTGTGAAGTGTGTCCGCAATGGCGAAAGAACTTCATGACGATGTACTCGTGCAACCTATTTCCGGCCTGGTTAAACGAGTCAAGAACCTGTTTTCTCATCAAACAGCTGACTCTCGTGAACGGATTTTAATCGCACTTGCTGGTGTACCAGGATCTGGAAAGTCCGCGATATCGCATGCTCTGTTGAAAGAACTTGAATTGCAGGGTATCCATGGCGTAGAGGTTGCGCCCTTGGTATGTTTTCAGTTCTTTCTTTGCCATATTTCTGTATTTAACCAAATTATGCTAGGATGGTTTCCACTATACGCAAAAGGCGTTATCGAACTTTGACGACCCAGATCTGGCTTTTCGTAGACGTGGCGCGCCGTTCACTTTCGACGCTGAGGCATTCGTGAACTTCACCAAGACGCTCAAATCTATCCCTATCACGATCACAAACGAACCGGAATCAATTATTCATGCGCCGAGCTTTGATCATGCGATCAAAGATCCCGTCCAGGATGGGATTCAAATTTCATCGAGAACCCGCTTGATTATAGTGGAGGGCAACTATACTTTGCTTAATCAGCGGTCATGGTGCGAGATTGCGGATCTCTGTGATGAAAAGTACGTTATGAAGATTCGCCGTGTATTTGACCAGGCTGACAGCTCTAGGTGGTTCGTGGACGTCCCTGCCGATGTGGTAAGAGACCGACTGGCCAAGCGTCACCTTGCAGCTGGAATAGAATCAACTATGGCACAAGCTATCAAGAGAGCTGAGGAAAACGACTTACCAAATGGTGATTTGATACGGGCATTGCTCATTAAACCCGATGTAATCATAGATAACCCATAAGCTTGAGGGCAAAAAAAAGAAGGCCGCAGGCATCCGAATTAAATATTGTCGTTTTGAAAATCCCTGTCAAACGAGCTGAACAATTCATTGGATTCGATCGACCAGGGAAAAGTACTCAGTGCCTCCTGATCTAGTATCACGTCCCGAAACATGTCATCCACAGTGGAGTTATCAGATACCAACTGATCAATAATGGCGACACAGCGAGTTGATAAGGAATCCTGACCAAGGTGCTCCCGGAGCGTGGTTCGAGCTAGCCGAACGCCTTCATGCCATGTTTGGAGGTCAGGCTCGTTGGGGAAGCTGAGAATACACAATATAATCACTAGGGCAGCGTGGAATAAAAAGTATCTAAAACTCTGTGTCAACTAAATCTTTCATGAAACTAATCAGTTGGCTTCACAGTAAAGTTGGCTTCACAGTAATTGCATGACTTACGTGGCGTACCAACCCTCTAGTCTGGTCAGGTTTTGTGTTGAATAATTATGAATTGATACGATTGTAGAGTGAGCAGCTTCAACGCAAAATCGCTTGCATTGTTCGTGAGAAGAATGTGGAATCTGGCCGGATGAAAAGCTCCGTTCGGCAACCGCTCGCCGCAGTAGAATGTGACGGAAGACGATGATTTTGAGGTTCCAAATACGCCACCAGAGACGAGCTCTTGCAAACAAATACCAACGCATCTGGCACGAAGGGTCGTGAGTGAGCTGAAAATAGGGGGGCAGGGTAAGGATCCAAGCATCTATTGATGCGTTGATGGCAAGTGCGGCCTCCGCGGATAGTCCAGGATCCGCCAACAGACGGTTCGAAATGGAATTCGTGTGGAGATGAAATTCGCTCTGCGCCTTCAAAGAGGAATAAACAGTCGGCTGAGCTGATTCCGGTGGAAGCTCAGATGTCTCTGGTGTAAGAACCTACGATGTGGTTAGCTATATAATAGCACACAGTCCACGAGCAGTCGCTCGCGGGGATCTTTCATCCAGTTAACCTACCTCGTCTTCAATATTCAAGACAAGATGCACGTTCATCGAATCTTGATCTGGTAGCATTATAGCCCTCCCAAATGTGGTCGAGGCACCGCTATCGAAAATGTATAGTCCCCACCAAACCCTTCTTCGAATCTCTCGCTCCATGAGACTAATATTCCAATGCGGGAGTTCGCGATGCAGTGCGATGCTCAGTGACGTGCGAACAGCAAGACCTAAAAGATTCCATCCAGTATTGGGACTGTTCCTTTTCTGACTCAGGTTGCTTAGAAGCACATGGGCTTGAACTGTTGCTAAATTGGCAACCTCGAGTACAGATTGGTGTTGACCTAGCGTGAGCGCACGACGATAGAGATACTCTTCCAACCCGTCCTGGTCGTGGCTTAAGCTCCATGCGCCAACAGCTATGATGGTGTGGTAGAGCATATCCCATGATCTCTTAGGAGGCCGTGCGATGATCTCGTGGTACTGAGCGCGAAATATACCTTCATGCACAAAGGGATAACAAACGTGGTAATCGCGAAAATAGGCATCTATAAAAGTGGATGCAATTTGCTTGCTCAAAACACCGTTGGCAATGTACGATGATGACAAAATACTTTTTGGTTGATGCGTTGAATCATCTTTGTGTTCGTGATCTGGAGGTCGGGACTGATGCAGGAGACTCGCCCAGTCTAGCAAGCTCCGTAGAAAGACGACGCCAGAAGTTGGACCTGTGTTATTATCAGATCAAGAGCGGTTCTATAGAGCAACAATACAAACCTAAATATCCAACGCCTGCTGGTTCTACCGAGAGTGCAGCCATGCCATCCGATAGACCATCAATTTTGATATGTTCTTCTTCCCAATTGAAACCATCAGCATTGATTGGTACAGCTTCTGGAAGCACAGGGTCTTGCTCTACGGCACTGTTGTGCTCTCGTAGGGGGGCTGTCGGTGTAAGTTGGGGAGCGTCTGTGGTCTCGGAGGCAATAACACACGGGGAAAGTTGAGGCAGGTCGGGCGATTTCAAGGCAGCATCGATATCTATACCGGGAAGTAACTGCAACACGAGCTTCTCCAGACTATGCATCCTATTTTCTACACTCGTGAGATATCTGTAAAGCGTAGCGTCAGAAGATTGCACTCTTGGTGGGTGAAGCTGACTGACGCACGAGTGAGCGGCGACCTGACAACCCTCCCGCTGTAGTGACATGACGAGCCGCTCTGCACACAACTGCTACATGATGGAGCCTCTTTCGAACACTTTTGGTGGTAAATATTTTAGTCTCGTGCCAAAAGATTCGATGGATCCTACCTTCAGCTTCTTGTTGCGACAGCGGTCGCACTTTCCCTAATTAGCAAGCAATACCACCTGAGTACGGGAACAGAGTGTGCGAGGAGTCATACCGAAAGAGAGTCTCTCATCCTTTTGTGCTCTATTCAGCAAGACCCGCGTTGCAGTATTGGCGACGTATCTAGGGCGATAGTCGAAGCAACTTTACGGTGGTTGCTAGATTCGTCCCTATCTCTCTCGGCTGAATCTCGCACCTCGGCTCTTCTACAGGTTTACTTTTCTATTAGCAGTTGTTCGTAATGAATCAACGGATAGCATTGAACAGATGAGATGTGTGCGTTCCGTCATGCGAACTAGTGAGAGCTAAGAGTTTTATCCATTTCAAGAGTCACGTGATTGACCCCTATCAATGATGTCCCATCACAGATACATATCTTAGTAGTCTGGATGCTCATTCATCGGAGTTTAGTTTATTGTCGTATGGGTTAGCATATCAATCATTTACCATAGTGACACAGATCAATAAGTCGCTCGGAAGATATCCCTTGCCAAGGATGTGTATTTCTCCTCTGTTTTCTCCGTTGTTCTCACATTTGTTCTCTCCTTATACATGAATACCTATGTAGGTAGGTGCCATAAAACCTCACGGCCGGTCCCAAAAAGCTACTAATTATTCTTTTTGGGGACTTTATGCTACAGAAACTGCACCTAAGCAGCTACTAATCAGATGTATTAAACTAGTGTGTTCTCCGCTCCCTTCAGCATTTCCTGAAAATGAAATATGTGGTGTTAGGAACAATAATCATATAAACCGCAAGGCCGCCTCCAGGAACCCTAGTAGAAAGAGCTTTCCTGATCGAATCATTCCCAGGCGGTGTGTAAAATACTCTTCGCTATCCTCAACGACTCTTTTGTTCCACCACACGCGGACAGGGGTACACCCTAATACCCACCACCCCACACACTAAGCTATCGACCGAGAGAGAAAAATCAAACCTTGAAAATTCTCTTCGCCCACACGATATAGCTTAAACATTAACAAATTCGATCTTTTCTCTCCTATAACAAACAAATAACTCACTAAAAGTTGCTAATTCGCACCCAAGAAGATGGGGGGTTGGCGCAATTGGTAGCGCATTGGTTTTCGGTTTCTTTCGACGGCTTCACAATCGGCGAATTAAGCATAATTGAGATACACCAAAGGTTGCGAGTTCGATCCTCGTGCCCCTCGGCTTTCGTTTTTGTGTTTTTTTTTTTTAAAGATTTTTGTTTTGTAGTTGTTGGTTTCGCAGGTGGTGGTGTTGGTGTTGGGGGAGATTAAGAATAATGAAGATGCGGATTCTGGTTACCTAATTCGCCGAGTAGTATTGTTTTAATGCTTTTTTATTTTGATGAAGAGGGATGAAGGTGGAGAAAAATGTTACTGGTCCAGTGAAGGTTATTTGGATGGACATAATGTCTATGACGTGAACTTGATTGTTGACCGAGTCTTGATACATGTACACATATGTGGTGTTACCCAATCTCAAAATACCAAAAAAATCACACGATCCTATACCCGTCCTCAAAATCATTCCTTTTCAGATTGCTCCTCATTCCCCCACGTCGCAATCTTCGTCTCACTAAACAACTTACTCAAATTAGCTTCCTCGCGATCATCCGACACACTCTTCCCCAAATCCAAACACCACATGGACTGCGATTCCCAATCGTGCGGCGGGTGCGTCTCCTTGCGCCCCCGCTGTGCCGTGAACTTATCAATCAACTCCACCTCCTCCGCGCGCATGACGCCGCGCACAGCACTAAAAACCATTTGCCCCGCGTAATGACAGTGGCTCTGATCTCGGATACCACGGGCGGCGAGAACGAGAGTCGAATGTAGCGTCTTCACTTGGCTTTCCTGCATGTCGGGTTTGATGGAGCCATGTGCCATAAAGGCGAGGAAGCTGAGGTACTGCATCATCCAGCCGTCGAGCGATTCGAAGCCGTGGCGCAGGTAGTAAAGGCGGATGAGGATTTCGAAGGAGATCTTGGCGTCTCTCAGGGTCTCGTGTGGGGATTTATCGAAGACTTGTGCCACGAGTTGTGTGTGTTCTGGGCTGCTTAGCTCGGTCGCCATTGGTTCCTCGAGGATGTTGATGATTAGGTTTTTGTAGAGCATGCTGGTCATTCCACCGTTAGACGTATGAATATGAGGGGCTGAGCTCGACTTACTGCTGCTGGATCTGAGATGGAGTGACTATTTTATCGGGTTTCAGTTCCGATGGGAGATGCTTGTTCCAGCTCATGAGTTTTGCGTAATGTAATAATGTTTGTTCGACTGTGAGTTTGACGTGAGTATTCTCGTCCGGACGCACTATAGTAGCGATATCGAGCGCAATCATGTACAGCTCGGTCTTTGCCTTGTATAAGTGACCGAACTGGGTTGAGAATAGTGTTGGAGCAGAGGGAAATTCGAACCATATCTCCCCGTACCGTTGCGCATATTCTACCGGATCGGGTAGAGACGTCTCAGGAGGGGTTGTTATCAAAGGGGGAAGCTGAGCGAAATAGCTCACAATGCTAAGAAAGATTTAGCGGAGCCGAAAATAACGCTTTTCGTATACATACCCTTGCCAGCCATATAATGACCATGCTGTGAAGCTCCGAGCGTTTTGCTCTTTTTCACTGAGCTCTGGTGACGTTTTGAACAGCCCGAGCCGGTGGGCCATTTCTATAGCTCGCTTCGTGTAAAGATGGCCAATTATATCTGTTCCATGCATATTGTAGACACTATGCAAGATAGGTGAAGCTTGCACAGTTGTAAGTTTAGGGTTGCTTAACTCTAATTCATATAATCGGCGAGCTTCTGCGAGAAACCGATAGCCTAGGTTCCGTGGGTTCCAGAACTCAGCGCGATTGGGATTGGTGTGGTCGTTGTTCTACAAACTCAAGTCAGCGATGTTCTCAGTAGCCAACGATTTCGAAACTTGCACAAGCTCCAGCTAGAATAGCATTGACCAGCAATGCAGAGCAGTGTTCTGTTTTGCCTTGAGCCATGTCTTCTAGAAAGTAATCCTTATGGAAGAAGGGTTTTGAGAAGTACTCCGAAAGAAAGAATGTGCCGAGCAATTTTCGCATGAAATTATCGTCGGAGCTCACCGAGGTCCATTTGGATGGCTTGATCAAATCCAGCTTTGGTTCTGCGATGACTGCTGCGTGGTAAGGCTTCCAAAAAACGTCGTGTGACCTATCACCGTGGCTAACAACTCTACTATCTAGATCCTTTCGAGAAGTTTCCTCTTTCAAGTTATATTCGAACACAATTGTGTCGATATATGGGCTGGATGACTGCAGCAAGTATGCAGGGATTTCGTTCAAATAGGGGAATTCGTATCGACGTCTCGCTTCGGGCACAAGAGACAGCTGCAAAAGCAAGTTTCCATCTTTCACCTGGCTGACGATGTCTTCAGCCTTTACACCTGTTCTGATGCGTGAAAATACTTGCTGCGCTTCCGGTTCAGGCATATCCATCAGCAATTCGTATAGCTCATCGTAAGCGGACATCCTGGCTTTCAACGCTGCGTACTTCTTCTATACGGCTGTAAGACATACAAACAATTGATCGGGGACTTGGAAACGAACCCTGGCAACCTTACTCTCCGTCATTGCATATTTACAGTCAAGACCACTGGCAACACACTTCCTGCAGCTGGGTCGTTCGGCGCTGCACTGTATAGAATATCAGTACAGTGAAACTCAATACCATAAGAGGCTTACTGAGGAAGGGTGGATCTGTGCACCTTTGATTTGCTGGAACGGCAGGCCTCGCATGCTGTCAGGGCTCGTTTCCTCTTATCTTTCGATGATGGTGAAGGTGCTTGTTGAATTCCGGCAAAAGCAGGTAACAATGGACGAAGAGGGCGTCTTGGATCCATTTCCACTCAACTGTATATGTCACCCAGGGAAGAAGACAGGCAATTGTTGTGAAGAGTATCAGTAACTCGTATAAATTATAAATATTCTTTTATACGTCATATTTGCAAGCTTTGCCGATACAGCTAGCATTTATTGAATTGCACATTTACTAATACTCGATGGCCTATAAATTATGTGGGCGTGAGGTTGTATGCGCCCCCGCTGGCAGTGTCACAAAGCCCTGGCGGCTATCCTGGACAGTACATCTATATTTGCTTTTTATTGCTTGTTGGAGCGTACCTTCCCAACGAATACAGCAATTTCGTATGACAAGCCACGCCTACACCTTGATTCTACAATATTATACGTGGTTGATCGGATGTAAGCCAAGCACTTGAGTCTGTATGATGTTTCTCAACCGAATCAGAATTCGAGCCCAACACTTCCGCTTCAAGCTAATTGGTTGATAATTTGAGTATCACAGCCTCCGACGTCCGAACCCCCAAGATGGCCAATCACAAGGCTACGATCTACAACTGTATGTATGTAAGAGGAATCGCGGCTGTAAAACGTTTTGAAGACTCAGTAGAGATGAGCGCGCCGCCAAGCTCTTGATGAGTTGTCAGATAAATGTAGAATTTTTAGTTCCCTGTGACTCCTGCAACACCAACACATCAGTTATACCCTGGGTATGATTCAACATGGTGATTGCACCGAAATCCTCCTACTTAAATCCGACTCATTCTGTACCCGCCCTACATATTGTAGTTACCCCTGATTTTTAGCAAGACATGTGCATTCCACTGATTCCAGGGACGGCAATAATGTTCGGAAATAACGGCGCCTATACTTGAGATTACCCTTTGTCTTTTCACCTCGCCAAACATAGGTAAAACATGACAGCCAGTGCGAGAGCATTTCAGGTGTTCACGAAGTGTGCAGTTTTACTCTTTGTACGAAACAATACAATCACTCTTTTTTACGTCTTGACGTTTACGAACCAACCTACTAAGTACATGACAACTGCATCCCCGTAAACACGTCTTACTGAAATATCGCTATGGGCTTCCATAATAACTTTCGAAAGAAATATTTTTTTTAAAAGTACACTCGACGTCACATAGAAGGATGGTATGCGAGTTGTCGTAGCACTTTAGTCCAGCCACTCATATAGCGTTCCATTTACAATCCCTAAAAACCTATTTTTCACCACAGCCTCAATCATCCAAAATAATTAATTTTATGGATGAGTTCCGAATGAGTCATCTCCGTGAACATAAAAATATAAAACTACTCTATATTCTCCATCTCGCAGACATCGAAAACACACTTCTTCCTCCCATACCGCCATTCACGTACACGCAGCATCAACCCATCACACACATTCAACCCCCACCATTTTACACCAAACCCCAGTCAAACATGGACCTTCTCCACGCTCTAGAAGACATGGCAAATGCCAGCATGGCTCAAGCAGAGAATAAATACCAAGCAGCCGACGTCGATCGCTGGGCGCGCCTATTCAACCTCACACATGACGAAGCCCAGGAAGCCATAGACTCACATTTCTCGAACCTCTCACGAATCCAAATCACCGAAACGCAATGGTGCATCTTGAGAGAGTCTGGGGGAATATCCGAGCATGATAAAGAGAGCTACTCGTATTTCCTGAGTCACTCCCAACAACCCTCAAAAAAGCCGTTGCAAAGCCCGGGTCAAAACATCCAAGCAGGACGACACACAAAGCGGAAAACCGAATACATCTTCAAACTCACGGCTCCTTTTGAGACGGCGGGAAAAATTCAACAAACAGCCCAGCTTCCCAGTCCACCGCGCCTTCTCGTCGATCAAGATACGGGCGAGGAATGTTTTGCCGTCGTTGATGGGCCCACGCGGTCTGTTTTGGAAGGTTTGGTGACGCATACGACGTGGCTTACCTTCGCGGTGCTGAAGAAACCGGCGGAAAAAGACTTGTCGTCGTATTCTATTGCACCAGCCTTAGGTGTTGATGCAACGCTGCCACACCATCGCGGTTCTTGCCACCATCCTAGACAAAGCGAATACCCTGTGCCATATTTCTTCTACGGCACCCTAGCGGACTCGGAAGTGTTAACCCGACTTCTCGGATTACAAGATGAGCCGGTTTTTCGTCGTGCGAAGGTGAGAGGTGGGAAGCTAGGTATGTGGGGTGGGAAATACAGAGCGCTTGTTGATGGGGAGGAGAAGGATGAAGTAGACGGCTGGATGTATGTCGTGGAGAGCGAGGAACAGGAGGATTATTTGCGACATTACGAAGGTGGTAATTATGAGGTTGTTCGGTGCGATATCATAATC